GCTCCTGGCTTTACCACTAGGAGCAAGAAGACTAGGAGCAAAGGGCACTGCTACTAGGAGCAAGAAGCTACTAGGGGCTCCTGGCTTTACTACTAGGAGCCAGGATGCTACGAGTGGAGCTTTTCTCACCATTTCGTGCCACGTGACACCCCAACTCCTGCAACTCGCTCCCTCCCACCACGTGACCCTCGCAGGGTCTGAAACCGACCCGAGGGTCGCGTTCGTCGAGTGGCCATTCCGCAGGTTTGGTGTTGGGCGGCATCAGAGCCTCCTCACCCAGTTGCACCAGGAAGGGGTCCACGGTGCCGCTGTAGATCCATGAGTGCAGCTGACCTGTTGGCAGATACAGATGTCTTTCCTTTTTTCTTCTATCTATTTTTATAAATTAAATATATACATACTAAATATTATAACTTTTTATAACATATTCTATATATTATGTATATATATATACTTTCTTTCCTGCATGATTGACAGTTTTAAGGAGACATGATACCGAAGGCCTCTTCCTCATTTTTTGCTATGAGGGGAGAAATGCAGCCCCGGACTTAAGGCGTCTGCTTTTTGGTGACGTGTCATCATGGATTTCAACCTAGTACCAAACTATATTAGACCTTCTTTAAAGCCTGCTCCCCCCTCCTTACTTAATTTATTAAGGAACTAGTAAGCTACTAGACTAAGTCAGCTTCTAGTACCTGGACGCAGGATAGCTCACGCTTCTTCAAGGAAGCTCCCCTAGATTCTATTTTCCTGGAAGAAGCGCTTGCACTAATGATTTGGTTCCTAGAGGGAAACTTACCTAATAACGATGGCCTCCAACCTACTAGCGTTTGCCTCTGTGTCACCATTGATTTCAACCTGTCCAAGGCTCGCTGCAAGGTGGAAAACTCCACTGCGATCTCCACAAAAGGAATCCAATCAATCTGTCATCCCGAACCAGCCCTTTTCCATCTGTCATCCATCTACCTCATGGTGCCTGCCCTTAGAATCTTCACTCTGCGTCGCCCCTTCTACTTATACGAGCAAGAGGACGCTACTAAGAGCAAAGGGCATCACTACTAGGAGCAAGAAGCCACTAGGGGCTCCTGGCCTTACTACTAGGAGCAATGTTCGCCATTGACAAACATCCTCCGAACACCAGTAGTCGGTGCTTTGCTCCTCTCGGCCACCAAGCGGCGGGCGGGCACGGAGGGGCAAGGCCAACGGCCCAGCCATTTCATCTGCGGAGACCGTTGGACATAGGCCTCCCACACCAGGCGAACCTGTGCAAACAATGGACCATCGCAAGTAGGTTGGAGGCCATCGCTACTAGTAACAAGAAGCTACTAGGGGCTCCTGGCATCGCTAGCTACTAGGAGCAAGGATGCTACTAGTAGCTCCTGGTCTTACTACTAGCAACAAAAGGCTACTAGTAACAAAGGGCATCGCTACTAGAAGCAAGGACGCTACTAGTAGCTTAATGTGCGCTTCGCTTGTGAAGCAAGAGATAGACCTTTTTTGGGTGGTGAGTAGGAATCAATGTGTTGCAAGTGGTTTTGTGTTTTGTGTTTTCATGACAATTTCGAGAGGAATCACAGCACTGGCTCAGCTTCAGTTTCCTTGAATTCTCCAATTGAGCCTATGTTTGCTGACACATTCAGCATTGGTTGGTGGATTATGGGTGGTCAGTACTCCATGCTGTCAAAGAATGTCACGGAAATCACTCGACAGAAAAAACAACATGATCTTTATGACGCTTCCTCATTCCGAACTCTCTTTTCTGTGTAGTGGCCGAATTTGGTCTGCAAACACCGTTCTTTCTGAAGAAACGGACACCACAAGCCCTTGATCAAGACTTCGCTGTCTCAAAACCGGCATATCCCAAGCACTGAGTTGCATTGAAGCGCCCATGTTGTCTAACAGGAAGTCGGGACTGTGTGCTTCTCAAAGTTGTGCTGCATACACTATGATTCCAAACTAAACTATAGGGTTTCCCTTGGTTGTCGCACCACTTGGTACTAACCAAACACAACCAGACCGTTCCACAGCTGTGTCCGGCTTTTCAGCCTTCACCCTGCCTGCTCGTTGCGCAGGGGCCGTTGCGTGAAGAGCCATTTCGGCACCTGCGGGTCCGGAGCTTCAGCCTCCAACCTAGTAGTGTCCTTGCTAGTAGTAACAAGTGCATCGCTAGGAGTAACAAAGTGCCTTACTAGTAGTAACAATAAGCTAATAGCAAACATTGTTACTACTAGTAAGGCACTTTGTTCCTAGTAGCGATGCACTTGGTTCCGTTCGTAGCGAAGGGGTTTTGGCTTCGGCCTGAGCGAAGAAGGGATTGAGCTGGGCAAAGATCCGGTCCATGATCTCCAGTGGCAATTCGAAGTTCAACTCCTCAGCTCGTAGTAACAGGTGCCACGCTACTAGGAACAGGTGCCTTACTAGTAGTAACTAAGAAGCTAGTAGTAACAGGTGCCACGCTACTAGGAACAGGTGCCACGCTAGTAGTAACAAGTGCCTCGCTACTAGTAACAGATCGAGCCCCGAGATCGAGCCTTCCCCGTTTTTTCTGGTTTACTTTTGTTGCACCAAACATGCATTGCAGGTGCGTGGCTCATTACCTCTTGACACATCACTCCAACTTCGATTTCTTATTCCAAAATTAACATGCTCCTTTTTGCTTCTTCACCTGATTGGCACCCGCACCCACTCCGTGTAGGGCGCAGTGGTCCTCTCCTGAAGTGTCTGAAAGGAGTCCACATTTAATTATTGAAGGACACATTTGTTATAGCAACGGCCTCCAAATAGCGATGGCCTCCAAGCTACTAGCCATGGCCTCCAACCTAATAGCGATGGCCTCCACCATACAGGATTTCAACTCAAAACCGGCAAGTGACTTGGACACTTTCACGTGTTGGGCCCCTGTTTTCGGAGTTTTGGTCCGCCGAAGCAGGACGGCATAGCCCTGATGGCGTTGCTTTCGCCTTTTTCAGAATCGGAGAATGTCAAACAAGCTGATTCGGGTTACCACTTCTGTACCCTGGAAAGCTGCCAAAAGTTCAGTTCTGTCCGAGCCGCTAGGAGGGTTGCACAAGGCAGGTTCGATAGGCGTGGAGAAAGGAACATCTGGAATCAAAGTCGGGTGTTTCCAGAAAATGCAAAGAAGAACTCCATCATCATGAATCATCTAATCCTGCTGTGCTCTCTTTTTTTCCGCACAAGTCAATACAGACCCAGCTTGAGAATTCTGCCATCAAAGTACCCCACATTCTTTCATTCTCCGTAGAAAGAACTTCAGGTTCCTTGCCAAAAACTCTTCACCCATGCAGGCGGATCGGCTTCCACCGACAGGCATCGCTTGTTGGTCCCAACCCCCCCCCCAAACAAACAGACCTCTACGAAATGCGGGCCTTCAAGGAGGTCGAGTAGGTATTTGTCTTTCTGTGATTGTCTTTCTACAACTGTGGGTCTCCAACCTACTAGCGATGGCTTCCACCATCTACATTTCAGAAGTTGTTGCTGGGTCATGGAAGAGACTGCTTCATGACCTCTCCGACCCTCACGAACCACGCCTCCCAGGTGGGTTGTGCACAGAAGGCTGCGCCCAGCATCGGCGTGGTCGCAACGGGGATCGGGGTCACCTGGCGTGGGCGAAGATGGATGGCGGTCAGGGATTTTTACATGCTGTTTCTTCAACATGTTACTAGTAGCGTCCTCTTGTTCCTAGTAGTAAGGCCACGAGCTACTGGTAGCGTCCTGGCTCCTAGCAACGATGCCCTTTGTTCCTAGTAGCTTATTGTTACTAGTAGCCAACATCATCTTCTTCGAAATTGAACAGAAACTCCATGTTTTGGGGTCTGTTCACGTACGAGTACCTACCTCTATCACGCAGAAATGGACAGCTGAATTGCCTGCAATTTGCCTGCAAGTGTGTGGAATTTCTGTATACTGCCAAAAACAATAAGGACTTCCAATTCTGAAGCACCATCTCACGATGGCCTCCTTCCTTAAGTTTCTTTGTGAATTTGACATGTATTCAAACGATTTTCTGGCACTGAAAAAGAACCAAGAGAAGCAACTGCACTTTGTATTGCTTAAAGTCATGAATAGTCCCTTCCTACATCTGTCCCCCATCACGTAAGACCACAGACAGATCCTCCTCTAGAAGCAGTTGGGTTGCTCACACGCGCGCGCTTTCCCTCTCTCTCTCTCTCTTGGTCCCCGTTCGTTGCACCTGTGCGGTTGCTCCTCCAGGAGGCACCGTGCTGGTGACCTCAACGAAATTGTGTTTTTCTATAGTAGTAGTAGTAGTAGTAGCTTCTAGTTACTAGTAGTAGGGCACTTGTTACTAGTAGTAGTGTTTTCTATTCTTACGGGGATGGGGGTAGGCCGCGAGTGGAGGTGAGGTAGGTAGCTAGTAGTAACAAGTGCCACGCTACTAGGAACAAGTGCCTTACTAGCAGTAACAATAAAAATTTAAACAAGTGAGGTGCCTTACTAGTGAGGTAGGTAGCTAGTAGTAGCAAACAGTAGCTGCTACCTAGCTTCTTCAAGGCTCCCCCCCTTTCGGGTGGGGAAACTTCCTTGAAGAAGCGCTCGCACTAATGATTTTGGTTCCTAGATTTTTAGGGAACCTTGAGGTCGGAGGCCATTCCTATTAGGAAACAACCAGAAGTTGCTGAACCACTCCGCGAAAGGCCCAAAATCACCTCACAGCTGTTGATCGAGTTGGGTCAACAAAGGCCTCCCACATTGGCCGGGCATCTGAATCTCCTACTGTTTGTGCAGGATCTTTCAGTTTGGAAGTATCTCCCGGTCATAGCTTGGAGGCCATCGCAGCGAGAACTCCCATGCATCCGCCTCAAAACGCTCTAAGCGGCACGGGTGATGGTGTAGGTGAAGAAGGCGGTCACGGTGGTCGTCGCCGCCCCGAACCTGAGGACGCGCGACCCGGTGCGGCGACCGGTCTGGCGGGTCGGCATTGCAGGCATCGGTGAACACTCAGAGGTTCATCACCGTTGCGGTTGGTGAAGTCGTGTGTGGAAGAAGCATGTCTAATCCGCCGAGTTTTGAGCACTCGACAGTAAATACCGTGGTTTTGAGCGCCCAATAGCTCAAAACCATCGGTATTTACCTGGTTTCCTGGCGTAGAAGCACCAAAACCTACGCAAATAGCGTGCTTTTGGGCCACTTTTGAAGCCTCGAGCAGCAAAAACATGGATATTTACGGCGCTTTCCATCTTTTTGGGCATTAAAAAAAGGCATCTCCACCACCAACCTGGGGGATTTTGCTTGGTCTCCTTGTTAGCGCGCGCGCGCGCCTCAAACTTGTTTGATACGAGGTCTCCGGGGCGCGCGCGAAAGGAACAACAACCATAGTAACCAAGCAAGAAATACAAAGGCAACGGACAGCCACAAAAACACAAAAATCATCAAATCGCTGTAGGAAAGTCTTACCAACATTGAAATGTTGGTTCTCAGAACTGACGAATGGTATGTTGGCTCTGATCGCTTACGTTCACGAAAGGCCAAGTCACATGTGAGATTCAAGATACTGGAAAGCTTGCTGGTATGTGGATTACACATATTTTGCAACATTTACAGCAGAAACCAAGTAATGCGTGGGAATCAGTTGGCTATCTTCGAACTGATGCACCTGTCCCTGGCATGACCCCATTTATGACCGCAACTTTACTGCTAGGCGCTTAGTTGGATTCATCTCAAATTCCTGGTGTATGATCTAGTGGGTTATCGATGTCCCAGTTCCCAGGTGTGTGTTTGTCGATGCAGCAGCCACGTCGTTGTGCCAGGGGCTCATGGCGCAGAGTGGTGCCATCTTATTTTGTGTTCCCGCACACATGTTCTTGAGTAGGTGTTGTGGCAAGGATCTGAGGTGAGTTTCAGGATATTCTTCCAGAGGAGCCTCCAACGGTTGCGCCACATGACACGCAACCAATGCGGCCAGCTGTGGAACTGCTTTCTCAGCTGACTCGTCATTTAGCACCGTCCTTTGTATCCACGAAAGCACCAAACGCTGCCAATGCGCAGCTCATGCTTTTGAATGTCCTTTTCTTGGCGTGCATCTAGCTACTCACTGTGCCCGTTTGGTTGCAGGACACTTACATGCGCCCAATGTAAGAACGTATAAAAAGTGACGCTCGAGGTGCAATGGAAATGTATCGATCTGAATTTGATGGCACTTCGCAGAGCTTCAGAGTTCCTGCGTCCAGCGTATAGTCGATCTCGCACCGCTTGTGCCACTGGAGCTCCGGAGCGCGCAGCAGTTCAGGAACTTCTGGCGTCAACTGCGTTGCCAGCTTGCGTCGCCTCGCGCGCCGCAATGGCATACAAGTGCTAACCCTACCATGGTACGGTATCACACAAGTTTCTTGGCATTGCCTGAGAAACTCTCAGGACCAAATTGGGCTTATGGCCAGTATGGCCATTTTTTGAACACAATGAGGGCAGCCTTGACAGTGGGAAAACTCTGGTGGTGGCATCTCGTTTCCGCCCAGGCGCCACTCAACGCCGTGCAACTTGCCTCCTGTCGTCAAAAGACAGGCTTGCAGCCAGCTGGACATTTTTCTCCTGAGAACAGTCTGCGTGACTCCAACGTCCTCTACAAGACAAAGCATTATGTTGCACTTTAGCTTGCCCGGGGTGGGGTGTTTGGACATCATCATCTTTGCCAATGCCACAAACAGTTGCAACACAACTGGTTCATCGCAGTGTTGATGCACTGTGTTCCACGGGTGAGATGTGCACGCGCCGCCGAACTCATGCTTATACTTATGCGCTGTCCCGCGCCTTGCCTTTCTCTTTGTTTCGCAGCGCGGTACTCTGCCCCGGGCACACCGCTTGCGCCGCTGGCGCCGCTCCGGCCACTCCTTCCGGAACAGCCTGACCGGGGTGATGGGCTGAAACGCCCCGAGGTGCTGCTGCGCGGGTTGCGCCGAACCATTCGCAGACCGACTCTTTGCAAGAATGTCCGAGGGGTTCTGAAACTCCAACTCCTCAAGCCTTATTGATTCAAAGCAATTCTTTGGTCACCGAAGCTTCGCTATGCTTGCGCACCGCCGCCCGGAATCTAAGCTATCAAAATCTGCTGCTTGGATGCTATTGTTTGTTTGCGCCCTTGATTTAGAGCTTCAAAGATCGACGTATAGATAGCTTCAGTTTCTTGACCCGAATCTGAGCTATCAAAATCTGCTGCTTGGATGCTATTGTTTGTTTGGATCCCTCGGTCGACATATAGATAGCTTCAATTCGTTACCTTTTCTGCATAGATGCAAGTCACACCCTTACTGCATTGACAAAGTGTTGATTCGAAACGGTGATGTGCTTGAACCAGCAAACGATAAGACTGCGCCACTAGGTCTGTACTGGAGTCTGTACCAGTGGTTGCTCGCACATGGAGTCTGTAATTACTCAAGGTTTGAAATGAAAAGCGTGTGTTTTTGACAAAGAGTTGGAAAGGGGTGAGAAGGCCAGGGGTGGCCGAAACCATGGACTCATACTTGTACTTCTAACACTCTTCTCTTGCAAATTGACATACGACGAACCTCTTTTTCTTTCATGGTTCTTGAGTATGTTTACACGAAATGGAGCCTGTGGGGGCAGTATTCCTTGACAAGGGTTCTAACGTAGTTGTTTGCCAATGTTGAACCCAACAAACACCAAGAGCAAAGTCGTATTAGATCCATCTGCGCGCCATACTCCCCGCACTCTCCTGCCATCTTCTGTCTAATGCTCCCCACCTCCTGCTTCCACCCTAAGACATCAGCGCGCTTGAAGCAGGTCACCGCTCTGATCAGGTCCAACAAGCTTAGGATGCCTTAATCCCAGTCCTTGCAGTTTGCGCTCATCAGGCACCATTTGATTGAGCAGCTGTAAGGCAGTAGGAATATCCCATGTCACCACAACAAAAAGTGCCGCGAAGGAAAGCCCCGGCGTAAACATATCGACCAAAATCGGTATATATTGCTGGACTCACAATCAAAGTAGGCCGTCTACTACCTTGACCATGCGGGGGGGCAAAGGCCGAACATTGCAGGCAAAGATTTCATCATGTCGGTTGAGATGCGTATCCCAATGCTGCTGCATCAGGACACTGACAGAACCATGTGCATTCCACCGTGCAATGTGGCAAACAGTAGAAAACACACAAATCAAGGCTTGAGGGTGGCTCCGCACTGCCAACTTGATCGGTCGCTCTGGTCCAGCTGCATTCAAGACATATGTAGTTGCAGCGTCAACAAATGCTCCAAACTGCGTGACTGACGAAAAATCGTCTCGATCACTGCCAACTAGATTCAGCAGCAGCAAAATTCCAATCCATCGTATGGACATGGCTGAACTTAAACTAAAGCTAGATTGAATTGAATGGTTTTTGGGCGCTGTCAGTTTCATCCGACTCTGCTGAGTTCAGCTTTCAGCCTTCTAAATGGTAAATAAGACGGTTTTTATGGAGGTCCTGCCCAATTTATGGAGGTCCTGCCCAACATTTTCATTTATTGTTTCACTCCATTCCCACGGATTGATGCAGAATCTTAATCCCACGCCAACAACGAGTCCTGAAGAACAGAAACAGTGGCTTCTGTCCGCTGTAGTGTAATTAGTCATTGGCCAAGCCATCCAAGTCAATTCAAGATCTGAGGCCTGATCTGATCTTGACAAGAGCCTGGGTCCTCAATGACGCTTGACGCGCTTGACACCTTATTGGGATTCTCCCACCATTGAACTGTGAAGTCCTGAGGAGAGCTGAGCATTCCCTTCCTCAGATACGTGGGTGGCAGAAGCTATCAAGAATTAAAAGCGCCTGCGTCTGGAAGTGTCTGTAAAGCTGGAGGAGCCCTCCCAACTTCACTCCTAGTCTCTGCCCTCAGAAGCCCTGAGCTCCGGACGTCGCCATCAGCTCTTCATAAGGCACAATTAGGGGACAAGCCTTCTTCCGGATGGCAGGATGATGGCTAGCTGGCTGCGGCAAGTAGGCAAGTGTCCGAAACTGAATGCGATAGCGAACCCGCGCCCAACCGGCATCGCCGGTCTGCGAAGCTCTACAATAGCACTGGCCGCAATGGCCTCCAACCTACTAGCGATGGCATCCAACCTGCAAGCATGACTTGTTGCTGTTCCAGTTTGCTTCGTCCCACGGAGTGGACCCACGGACTCCCTCGGTGAAAGAGCCCATTTGAGCGGAATTCCCACAGTTTCCCCCCACGAGATCCAACTCCGATCGCTACTAGAAGCAAAGGGCATCGCTACTAGGAGCAAGGACGCTACTAGTAACAAGTGCATCGCTACTAGTAACAAGTGCCTTACTAGTAGTAACAAGAAGCTACTAGGAGCAAAGGGCATCGCTACTAGGAGCAAGGACGCTACTAGGTTGGAGGCCATCGCTCACCCCAGCCATCGCCTGGGTATCACCGTCGCGGTGTCTTCAGTTTGAGCTCCCGGGCTGGTAGGGCCTGTAGGTGGAGATCGGAATGGTATTGGGCGCCACCGGCGGCTTCAAAGTGTAGGGGATGTCCGGATTCCTCAGAGCTTCAGTCGACCCAGCTGTCAAAAATGGCCTACTAGCGATGACCTCCAACCTACTAGCGAAGATGTTGCAGAGTTTGCGAGTTTGCATGGTTTATCATTCCAAACTACTGGCTCGATCGCTACTAGGAGCAAAGGGCATCGCTACTAGGAGCAAGGACGCTACTAGGGGCTCCTGGCATCTGGCATCGCTACTAGGAACAAGAATCTACTAGGGGCTCCTGGCCTTACTGCTAGGAGCAAATAGCTACTAGTAGCAAGGACGCTCACATGCGATTTTGCAAATCCTCCTTTCAGATTGACCAACTGATACGTGGCACCCCACCATACTTGCACCTGTCAGGTTCCAAGGAGATATTGAAAAAACAAGTCAAATCACCTCTGCAACAAACACCACCCATCCCAAACCAAGCTTTCGGTCATACCCACATGTCTCCTCTTGGCCCAGGCGTCTGGAAGACATCTACATTGGTCTCCTTGTCAAAGTTGTAGGGCTCTTCCAACGGTTGACCGCGACTCAGGATGCTCGAGGGATAGTGAGATTGGAAGCTGGCCATCGCTATTGGGTTGGAGGCCATCGCTAGTACTGGAGGCCATCCCTTTGAGGTTGGAGGCCATCGCTAGTAGGTTGGAGGCCATTGCTATTAGGTTGGAGGCCATCGCTATTAGGTTGGAGGCCATCGCTAGTAGGTTGAACCATCGCTGTTAGGTTGTAGACCATCACTATTGGGTTGGAGGCCATCGCTATTATGCTGGAGGCCATCGCTAGTAGGTTGAACCATCGCTATTAGGTTGTAGGCCATCACAATCAGGTTGGAGGTTATGGCTCTTAGGTTGTAGGCCATCACTATCAGGTTGGAGGCCATGGCTCTTAGGTTGCAGACCATCGCTATTAGGTTGGAGGCCAT